CTGAGCGTGTAATGTTAATTTTACCTGTGATCCTTTGAATAAATCAGCACTGTTTTGAAGTTACTTGGACTGTCTCATCTCTCAGAGTTAGCATGGTAACAAGAACTGGTCCTTACAGTATCCCAAAGAAACCTCTCAGCATGAAGTATTCCAATGCTGACTGAAAATAACAAAAAAGGAAGCCTGCTCCTAAAGTTGGGAACAATTTGACGTCTCCATAATCCCCATTTCTGGAATAAACTGGTTCTTATTGAGTCAATGGAGATGTTGTTACTCTTCTTCTTAATCCACTCTGATCTGAATAAATAGGGATTGTCCACCATCTTGTTTGTTTCACAGGAACTACTACTTTGCCATGAGAGACACTCAGAGAAGTGAAGAGCAGAGGGTTGGATAGTTTGTCAAAACTGAAAAATCACCGACTGTCAAGGGCGGGACTGCCTGGGAGGCTTAATCATATCATCCTCCAACTGTATGGCAGTGTGAGAAAGGACAACTTGGTGATACAGGTGACAGGACAGCAGGAGTTAGTTTTATAGAAAGGCAAACAAACAGGAGGAAGGATTAAGAAAATGAAAAAGAAAGAAGTGGATGAGCAAGCACATACACCCACATGATTTTTGCAAAAAGCTAATGAAAGTGATATTTACATAAGGGAACAAAAATGACCATGAGCTAAATTCAATGCTGTTCAAACAAATGTTACAGAAAATATTTAACTGTATTTTAACCCTTTGAGCTTCTGCACAAGTATTTCAAGCTCTGCAAAAATGCACATTGTATGCACACAAACAGTTAAACTCCCAATCACATGGTGACATGAGTGTCCTGTAAAACAGGAAGTCAGAATCTCACACCAAATTATTTCACATCTGTAGGTGTTGGTGGGACAAATATTCATTTATTTGTTTGCTTTCAAAAAGTCTTTTTTTTGGGAAATGTCAAGTATGCCAATATGTCAGCAGGTTTTTGGGAGAGTGTGACAAATCTCCTTTTATGCATGTGTGACTTTCCCAAGGAGACTTCAAGCTGTTGGCCACTGAGATGCGTGAGAGTCTCTCCCTTGCTGTGTGCAGGTGTGAAGAAAGGAGACAAAGGAAGTAGGCAGTAGGTAAAGAAACAGAGCAGATGAGAGGACAGAGCAATATCACTGTTTTCTTCACCGTTTTCACCGTCCTTTGGGGGACTCACAACTGTCAGATGTAACCAAGCATGTGACAGAAGTGTCTGTGCACGCACACTTGTGAAGCAGAGCAGGCAAGGAATAAAAGATTTAAAGTCGGTTGTTGTGGAATGTTACATTTAGATAGATCAATGTATTATATTCCTAAACTGCCTTAAATTAATGTTCATAAAATTCTTAACATAAACAAACAGGACTCCATGAGAAAGATTAAACACAGGAAGGTTGCATGTACAGTGCACGGTGTGTATATACAGGCCAAACTGCAGTACCTTAGATCTGAATGGCTCCGGGAAACCTCCATGTGGAATCCCAATGTATCCCTGTAAGAACTCAACCACAGACAGGGGGAAGGACAACTCGTCAGCCCTCTCCTCCACCTCCGCCCGCGTCAGGTTGTTCTGAACCATGAACTGGGCCAAGTCACCGACGATCTTTGAGGATGGAGTCACCTGAGAGAGGAAATAAAAAGAACTGTGAGCCAAAGTTCTGTCTTGTTGGTAATGCTGAGCCCCTTCTTTTGTTCAGGAAAAGAAAGGAAGTGGGAGATGAAGAGACTATCTAATATCAGTTTGGCTCGTCCCTCCGTAAGGCGTTTGTTTCATCGCAGACTGAGCACTAGACTTTAGTGCAGTTTCTGACGTCTGTTTGCTGAGATGAGAAGTGTTTCCATCTAGTATGTAACTGCTGCCCTTTTAATCTGACAAACTTTAGAAAAATTCACAAAGAGAATCTATTCAGGATAGTATTACAGTTTTCCACGGTTGTAATCTTGTTTTCAGCACCATCCCCCCCACACACACAACAAAGAAGAAGTTATTGCAGTTGTCTGTCATGCTGCACCATTTCTCTGTGTAAAGACCTGCAGTGTAGTTTCCTGTCAGTGGTTCGCAGGTGGGAATGCACACACAATGTAGTGACAGTCTTTATTGTAGTGAAAGTGCTGTTTAGAAATATTAAGTACTGAGTAATCCAGAGAAAAGAGAGCAGAATGAGAAATCAAATGGTGTTTACATCTATACAGTCTCTTTAATCATTTGATTTGGCAGCCAAGAACTAAACTACACTAATCTTATCTGTGAAAACAGAATAAACCTGAAAATGATTGGTGAGGAAGAAAGCGCAAGGAAAACATTCATTAAAATCACATGTATTCATCCTTTCATTACTTATAATGGCATATTATTATGGTAATAATGATCCCTATTAGCATAATGGTGATAAGTGGAGTCATTTTCGGCTGTGAACAGGACACCGATGCAAATATCAATTGCATGCATTACTCTTCCATTGCAATGAAAGGGGACACAGATTTAAGGCTTCCTGTTCACTTCCATTGGTGCTTGGAGCATTAAAGAGAGAGAGAGAGAGAGCGAGAGAGAGCGAGCGAGAGAGAGAGAGAGCGGTCAATTAGTACGGCCCATCAACCATAAAAAAACCTGAAAACCACCTTTGGCTCATTGCGACACCATTCAGCCTCTTACCTCAAGCCACTTTAAAATTTAAAGAGTTTCCCAACAAAGAACTTAACACCTCTTTGTGATGCCAAATTATCCAGTGCAAGCGCGCACACGTCGCTCTGGGACGTGTACACTAGATGAACCCCTAGTCTCACCTCCTCTAAACAAGTACAGCCTAACTTTTGTGTGTACGCTTGTGCCACCAGATACCGTCCACCTCATTTCATTGTCATCAGTGCAAATACAGCAGGATTAATGACAGAACTGCTTACTAAATACATTCTATAGTATATTGTTTTCTCCGGTCATAAACATCACCAGTTTATATGCTCTTCTATAACTTGGTACTGAACGTCTGTACTTCAACAAGGCCCAGTCATTCCAGCTTGTAGTCCCTTGTAATCCTGAATCCTACTCCTAACACACAGAAAGCTGCATTCAAAAAGCACTGCTGCTAGGCCTCCTCTAGATTGAAAATGCACCCATATTTGAAACACTATGCTCCCATTTTGTAATGCATGCTTTCATATAAAAATCTGTAGTCAGTTTGATTCATTTCACCTTATTTAACCAGAATAATCTGCTGATCATGAATATACTGCTTTTCATCACTGATATATACATATGTGGTGTTCTCTATTCAGCTTTCATTCAAATTTACAGAAAAACGCTTTAAATGATCTTGTCAAAGGAAAGATCAAGGACATAAATCCATATCAAACTAAATGGGAGAGTAAATTATGTTATATCTCACTTATCTAGCAATCAAAGATCTAAACTGCACAGCTAAGAGCCAATATTCTTACTCAGGTTTTTGAAGTTGGCAGATTTGAAACCATTATGGAGGAAAAGAAACTGAGCTGTGCAAGAGTGAGAGTCCCTATTTTCTTTTGCACTGTACTTGAGCCTTTAGATGGCTCAAGAAAACCCAGAGATATTCTATTCTATTCTGATATTTGTTAGGTATTTTTAGTCAGATAGAAATTGGATAGATACTTTATGTATTAGAAATGTTTAGTGGAGATAGGATGTCTAGTTAGACTGTTAAATGCTTAGTCATGCTTATGAGTTTCTACAGGGTACATCTGGTCAAGGATAACTAGAGAGAAGAGTTGATGACTGTCAGCAGACAGGGGGTTTAATATTATTATGATGACGTGTGTAACTGTAGCCTTAGCCATAATATGTTCTTATGTTTAAGCCACGACATGTACTAGAGGTCGTGAGAATGTTTTTAGTTACACACCACTTAACCAACAGACACACACATTCACACGTTGATTTGCTTCATGTTTTGACTACTGCTATGACCAGCTGCAAAGCTGGTATCAGAGACGTCTCGGTTGACGTTTCTGTGTAGTATGGGGCTAGCCCAACCGAGGGGATATAATGTATAGGCCTGGTGGACTCGGGGGGCTTTTGCATCTTACATCTGCCTGCGTGCAGGATAGAGGTGCAAGATACCTGAGCGTGTAATGTTAACTTTACCTGTGATCCTTTGAATAAATCCGCACTGTTTTGAAGTTACTTGGACTGCCTCGTCTCTCAAAGTCAGTATGGTAAGAAGTACGGGGTACAACATATTCATCACTCTCAATTTGACTAATGCTAATATGTGGCATCTTACAAGACTATGGGTGGGTTTAGGTGCCTGCATTACACAATAAGACCTGTTTCTGTCAGTGTAGCATGGTCTAGTACATGAGTCCAAATACTACAATATGCATGAGCCTTGGCTGCCATTTCTAGGAGGAGAAACCAGACAGAGGCATCACATTGGTACCACAGATAAAGTTCCGTAAATCGTACATTTATCCAAAATTGACCCAAAATTAAAAAGTGATTTCAGTTGAATACTGGGTTCCAGTGTTTTCAGCTTCCACCCACCATATCGCAGTTTGAGGCTTAATGATTGAATGTTTCTTGCAAAAAAAAAAAACAAAAAAAAAACACACACCTTGGGAGTTAGTTAAATTCTCACCTTGCATGTTTTTTGTAAACGGACTTGTACTTTCAAATTTTTATCCAAAGACGGATATCTTCAAACACAACACAAACAACTTTTACAAAGATAATATAATGGGGGGAATTTCATAGCCATCCAAACTGTGGAAGCCCCAGCTGTGAGTTACCTAACATGGAGAAAATGAACGGGACCAGAGAGAGACGACCCCCCCACTGGGTGACTATTTGGACATTTATGAAGCAGATCAGTCTTATATTCTGCTTGTTATGGCACTAGTTATTTGAAAACCGTGCCACTGCAATTAATCGTCCGGTGACAAGCCACATCTTTTAACAGCAGCCCAGGATGCCTGTTAAAGTCTGCAGCCACTTGGCAAACGTTCAAAGGAGGCTTGCAAGCAAATCAGTGCTTCGCAGCAAGACACGAAAAAGAAATGTTTCCTGCTGGTTGGAACAAGTGTGCACTTCCCTTTAGCACTTCCCTGCTGCAACACCTAAAGCTCGGTTTGATTGGGCTTGTGAATAGAGGAGATAATGATACATAGCTTTAACAGAATGGCTGTTTACAGAAAAGCTTAAGAGATTTGAATGGCCTGCTGAAACCTCTGGAGAGGCCATTAACTTGGTGCAGCTGGGGAACAAAAGCTCACTGCTGACTTACCCGGAATCTATCTACAACATACGAATGCAGCATGACTGTGCATTCCTCACCTGTCTTTTCCCGTCTCCCTGTCTCTATTGTTTTCTCTGCCTTCCTGTCTCCAGAGTGCATTTTTCTCATCTTTTACTGCAAAGTCAAGAATTGTTACTACCTATTTTCATTCTTTACTCCACCACACTAACTACAATCTTCTGTCTGGGGCCTAAAAGCCAGGATGCTGACTTTTTAACTCCAGTTCAGGTCCCCATTCCGCTTCCTCACCTCCTTAATCCACAGCACCATCAAGACTTGAACATCCAGAGATTAACATGAGGTGTTACGCTCCTCAATCTGTCTTAATGAATAATTCTCCAGCTCTCTCTGGGTGCCTCACACATAGGAAATAGAAAGTCTCATTTCCATCCGTGGGTGAGCTAGACGTATATGATGAGGGAGCTATTCTATATTTGTAGACCAGGGTGAGGTACATCCCAGTCCTGCAGGGCTCGAAAAATCTGATTTCCTGTGTTTCTCTGTGAAGCTTTCCCAAGGCTCTACGCTGTGGATTCCCTCTCAATCTAACTGATAAGATACTGTCATTATGTCGGCAGCTCACATCTCTGCCTGTTATATAGAGAACATAATCCTGTGGATTTCAAGTGGGCATGTAGCTTTTCACTGGACTGATGGAGGTAAACTGCTTCTTGATCCTTCTTGAACAAAACCCAATCTACTAGAAAAGTAGTTTACAGGCAAACAAGACATATACATTCACACTAGATTATTAAAAAAACAGTTATATAAAAATGAAGGTCTAAATTATGTGTTTGATCTTTGGCAGTCATGTTCAAGTCAAAGTAAAAACTGCCCAAAGGGTGGTGTCAAAATAAAGAACTTGGAGGTATGAAAATGTTCAGAAATGTGTTGAAGTATTAGAGCTAATTTATGAGGTTTAAGCAGAAAGGTCAACAACTCAAGATATGTAGTGCTGCAGAAAAGGTGTGAAAAAAGTGAGGGGTGTAAGTTTTTACTGAACAATTAAGGCTGAACTACCTGTAATACGTGTCATACTGGATGTGATTTCTGTGCAGTTTAAACATTATCAGGATTTTCATCAGTACAAAGTAAAGCTCAAAACTAAGTTCAATTCAAGGCTGTGGGGAATGTCAATTGTAATGGTATTTGATCATAAATGAAAGTGCAGGGCAAAAAGAAATTTCATGTTTGACTTTTCAATGATGGCACTAAATCCAAATTTACAAAGACCACAAATGAAAGAATAAAATTTCTTTCTTTCTTCGATTCGCACAGCCTCCTCCTAATAGTTGGTGTTGAGAGAAAGCGCAGTAGGTGGGACATAACGTGGTCAGTCAGCCAGTTTGTAATT